ACTTTAAAAGGCAGAGATTTACTTTTTTTTTGAAAACTGCATGGTTTCAAAGGACATCTTAAAATCCATACCTTTACAGTTTTCTTTTTATCTACCAATTTATAAGTAATACTTGACATTTCTGTATGCTTTAAAAAATAACAGAAGGTGAGAAGAATCAGTTTTTGGGGTTGTTTACTTTGTACATCTGACAGCACAGTTTGTGAGTCATTTCTATCTGTTGTGGGGGGGAGGGAGAGAACGAATATCATTCTGTCAGATATGAAGGAAATTATTTACAAATCATGAGACAAATGATCTGTAGGAGGAGGGTCTCAGAGATGGGCTTGGTGCCCAGATCATTTTAATTACTGGCTTTTTGGATTTCCCATGCCTTCAGATTGGTGATGTCTCCTTCAGGTTCCAGTCAGACACCTCCTCTCTAATAATAAGGATGAGGGTGTTTAGATGAAGCTCCTGCCAACAGGGCCTGTTTATGCCCTAGCACCACAAAGGTTCCCCTTCATCTGCAGTGCATCTAAGAAAGGCACCAGTTCTTGTCTCAAGACACCATGGACCTTGGGAAATCCCTCAAGCTCTATCACTCTGGAAGTTGAGCCAGGTCTATGGGTGAAGGACATGGCTTCTGACATGGTTCAAGGAGATACTAGCATCAGGGAAAATTCAAACAGATTTGCTATGGATGGTTTGAGCCTGTTTGTGTTTAAATCAGTTCACTTACAAGCAGTTTTGGTCTCCCCTGGAGGTGAGGTTTAAAAACTGTGGAGGCATTGCAGACCCTCACACAGCTGGGCTGATTGGAAAGAAAGGGACATTTACAAAAAAGAAAAAATTAATTCCTTGCAGCAGAGGCCCATGGCACTGCTTGATATAATCATGCTTGAAAACAGCTACAGCAAAGGGCTCTGACTCATAATCCACATGGAATTAGGCTTTGACCAACACTGACATTACCTTTCCCTGCCATCCCTCTTCAGACCATGTCTGCCCCTGCAGCAAGGATGGCAGGACCCCAATCTTATATACAAATATAGCAAATAAGTTCATCTCTGTCCTAAAAAACCTTCCAATCTAAATGAAAGGGACATTCAGTGTAATTTTTAATATTATTCTGTAATATATAAAAAAGACAGGCACAAGATAACCAAGAGGTATTTAATAGCTCAGGTTCTCAAACCACTGATGATCATCAGCCCATTAGCAGGACAGGCACTGTCAGAACCAGGCCAAGATGAAGGGAGGCTACCTGACAAGGAGTCAGGATGGAGGTTTGACTACATGTCAAACAGCAGTTTTTCGGGCACTGACACAGCTTTACGTGAAATTTCATCTCTCACTTGATTGAAGTATTTTGCAGTGACACGTGAATTACCTGTCAAAAATCCCACTGTTGCCATGTCTCATTCATTAGGTTTCACTTAGGAGGATAATGTGTAAATCCCAGCACAAAGAACTTTGCAAGTTCTGCTCCCCCCTGCTGCTGAAGGGCATGGCCTTTATCTCCCTGTGCAGCTCATGTACCAGCAAGTACTTATTAACACCTGCCATTCACATTTTGTGCCAGGGCCATGGCTGGACCACCAGCCTTCAGGTCTGGTCATCTGCTTGGACAACAGCTATGGGGGGTGTTTTTCACAAAGAAATTAAAGTTTGTGTCAGTGCAGTTTCCAGAGGATCTGGGACATTAGTGCATATGTAGGAGGATACTTCACTGACAGCAAAAACTTGGGAGGAAACTGCAGAAGGGTTCAGTTTGATTTCTGGGGAGAAAAAGGATCATAGGGTTGGGAATGCTCATTACTTCCTGCAGTCCTGCTGCCTCTGAAGCACTGTGTCTGTAGTGCAGTGTCATGGGCAGGAGCAACAGCCTCCCTCCTCCTGCCACCTCAGCTCCATGTCTTTCCTGGACTAGCAGAGGCTTCCTTTCCACAGGTAAGCTCAGGTTCTGCATCCCTTTTACCCATGACTCCTTCACTACAATGGCCAATAACTGTGCAATTTGCAAGGATGATCTTTTTTGTTGTGACTGCCAGTTCATGAGGAAAAGCTACTGAACAGTCATGAGGTAGGAGCCTCACTTGGTTTTCATCAGTAGCCTTCCTGGTGAGAGGCCAGATTAACTATAAGCAGGAACTTCCTTGCTTGGCTGAACACAAGCAACACATAGGACCATAAAATGGCCATAAAGATTTTTCTAGATGGCGTAAAATGGCATTTTTTTGTGTCTGCAATGAACAGTGCTAGAGAGACAGATAAGTCTGTGTTGTACAAGACATCCCGCAGAAGCACTGGGGGATGACAGGCTGAGGACTGTTCTCTGCACTCTGTGACATTGTGCACGGCAGTCATTATTTGTCATCATGTGTTAGCACATTCTCCAGAAAGGGGCCAGGCTTTTTTTAAAGAAGTCTCATACTTGTGATTTGCTTAGTTCTCTAGTGTTGTTACTTGCTCCTCTTTGTTGTTCCTTTGTTAAGGGGCAGAATACCCTCAGCCAGGTGGAGTGCCAATATATTGGGCACTGTTCAAATACAAAGAGTAAGCAACACTCATTGCACTGAAGAGCTTGTGAACAAAACAGCCAAGACAAAGCATGAAAGCACAGAGAGAATTTGAAATCCAAAGTTATTTCCTTCCCTTTTGTACTTAGCAAATGCAGCTGTAGTCTGGCCACACAGATTTTCCCACCCACCTCTCTTAACAATCTTATATTTTGAGAGAGCAGAAATTATCATGTTCTTACTAGCAAAGAAAGGCCTTCCCTGTCATTTTCTAACCACAACCATTTGAAATGAGCTACAGAGCTCAGTTCGGAGCACATTGCCTCTGAGGCATCATTTTTTCCCCGATCCCACAATGTTCTAGTCATTCTGACATAGAACACAGGGAACAACCGCATTCTTGTCAAACATCTTCATACCATTGAATAACATAAGTAACAGAGTAAAACATGGAAAGAACGTGTGGTTTTTAATCAAATAACCTGATTTTTGACTAATGGATTGTGGGATGGTGATCTTCCCATTTATCCTACTCTGTGCTTTGAAGTAGTATAGGACAACTCCAAAGCTTGGGATCTCACAAGGCTTTTGCAAGGATCCAGATCACTGATTGCAGACTGCTGGGGTGCTGGTGGGTGGCAAGAAGACTGTTTGGAATGAAATAGGCATAGTACCTACTGCAGCAGCTTGCTGGTCCTCACTAGTGCCCAGTGGCACTCCCATAATATGAGTATTTGTGAATATTCTGGGCCATCTGGCAGCTGTGCATGGTATTAGTGGAAGCACCTGACCTTTACAGCAGAGACTATCTACAAGTGACATTCCAAAATACAGTGGAGAAAAGGCCATCCAAACAGGCATAGCAGCGATCAGAAGAGGGAACCATAACAGTGATCTCCGTGCAGGTCCATGATAGAGATTTGTCTGTAGATTCAATGTCTATGTGATGTTCCTGCTAAATAAAGGAAGTGAGTATAATGGAAAGTCCACACATTTTGGAGATGTGGGTATGTTCCTGCAAATGCAGTTCCTGAACCAAATTCCATGGGAATTCACCAAATAATCCTACCTCTGTGTTCAGAGTGGGGAAGGTCAAACTCATTTATTCAATGCAACTGCAACTAAAAAGAACAAAGCAGCAGGGAAACAACAGCAAAATTGTTGCAGAAGAGAAGCAGAGCCAGGGGCAGGAAGGAATAGAAGGAAGCAAGGACATCCATTAAGCAGAAGACAGGAGCTTGTCATTGAAACTAGGCAGATTGTGACTGCTTTGGAAGATTATGCTGGTTTAGGGATCGGACCAGGAAGAAGAGGACATTCCTCACCAGCAGCTGTAAGTGAACAGATGTAGGACGGGCTGCACAGGTAGCACATGCCACATGCTACTGATCCATGCATGAACAGAGGGAGGACACACAGGACTGACTGTGTGTGTCCTGTAGCATGAGTCCTGTAGGCTGCCTTCTGTGCCCAGGGCTCTCCAGGCAACTCAGAGAGGCCCACAAAGGGAGGAATTAGAGAAGAAAAATAAAGTAGCAACTTCACGCTGACATGAGTAGTTATCTCTTGTGGCAGGTGTGTAGCATCTGTATCTATCCATTATTTGGTGTGTGGGTGGCAATTGTGACATTTCAGGAGCTCAGAGTTTAGCTTTGATGAAGCTGAAGGCCAAAGATCAAAATTAGACTCATCTGGGTGGGATAAAGTTCAGCCTCATCTGATACGTGTGTTATTCCATAACATCACTTTACAGAGTTAGGAAGTTTGTCCTTGCCATGTTCTCAGGAAGAAATAAGAAATGAAATATTGCTGCAGAGATGGAAAACAAGAAGAGGATATTTTGAAGATTTCAGTAATGTGGCAGAGGGCATCTGGATTGAAACTGGAGTCATGCAGAGGGCAGAATCTGAGTTTTGTGAAGTATTTAAAGAATTTTTAGTGATATTTAAAAGGAGACTGTATAATGAAAAATTCTGTATTTTGATATAAGAAAAGCATGAAGAAAATCTCCCATATAAGTTCAAATGTACATTTCAACAGAGCCAGAACATGACAAGTATCTTGTAATATTCTATAAAGCCTATCACTGAAAAATTGGAATGAAACAAAAAATTCAAGGTTATTTTCCCTCCCAAAAATGTCAAAACACGATTATTCATTCTGTATTTACTCTGTGAAGCAGTTTCAGAAAAATCAATGGTTCCATGGAGCATTCTGGTTCCCAAGGGAGTGCTCATAATGAAAAAGTGTTCCTGTTGAAGTTTCTCCATACAGCTCTGTTCAGCAGCAGATCAATATTCAAGGCTCTGGTGGCACTCAGTTCTTTCTCCATGGAGCCTCCAGACTAAGCCACTCTCTATACAAACGTCTTCCTTTTGGCACTTCCTTACTGCTTGCACCAGCTCTTCTCATGCAGCTTGGAAAGGGGTATGTCTATCACTCTTCTAACTTCTCTTTGTTTTTTTCCTCCCTCCTTCTCCCCTTCCCGCTCTCCTCCAGGAACCTTCTGCATCATTTCACTGTGCACGTGCGTGGCTGGAATCAACTTTGAGCTCTCCCGCTACCCCCGCTACCTGTACGGACTTCCCGACGACATCAGCCATGGCTATGGCTGGTCCATGTTCTGTGCGTGGGGGGGCCTGGGCCTCACTCTGATCTCTGGCTTCTTCTGCACTCTGGCCCCTTCTGTCCAACCTGTCCCCAGGACCAACTGCCCCAAATCTAGACCTGAGAATGGGACAGTGTGCTAAAACAAACAGCAAACAAATACACACACACAAAGACATATATATATATATATATATATATATATATATATATATATATGTGCCTAGGTATGTCTATACGTGCATATATATGTATATATAATTATATATATATAAAATCTCAAGTTAATGCCAGTGCCAAGGTAGAGCTGAGTCCAACATGGCACTCACATCTCCACTGGACTCTGTGTTGCTTCATTCTTTCTCACAGTGATGGGAAAGCTTTTCTCTCACATGGCTCTTCCATCCAACTCATAGCTTCAGCATCATACCTTAGAGGTTAAATGAATCTACAGTTGCACCTACCTACTGCCATTTGGGAGGGGGAACAGGGGATCCATGTGGGGAATCTGGAACCAGAATTTGTACAGGACATGGTGGGGGCAGAGGTGTGGGGGGAATGACACAAAAAGTGTGTCCATTGCAGCCAGAAGGGAAAATGTAAAAAGCAAGCAAATGAAGCACTTGAGCCACTTCAACAACATACCTCCTCAAGGCCATTATGAGAAACCCACCCATGTTCTTTTTCTTTCTTAAAACAAAATGACAGAAGTTGTGTCATTGGTTTTGGAGTTTTGTTGGGTTTTTTTTTCTCCCTAAAATGCAGAAAACAAAATGGACAGAATATGTGAGGAAAAGTAGAAAAGCATTCTCTCTTTGCCTGCCAAACTTTAGAGAGAAGCAAACAAGTGAAAATAATAATAATAATTAATAATAATAACATCTAAGAAAATAAAACCAGAAAACAATGAAAATCTCCAAGAGGACATCTCAGCAGACTTTCCAACAATGCGATTTTAATCTTCCAGCTGCCTTACATCCAGGCTTACAACTGAGGCTGAACTGCTAATGTAAATGCAGCAGAAGGCCTTTTGAAAATGCTGTGATACATGTGTGTATAACTTTTTCTTCCCTCTTACTTTATTTTTTTTAACAAAAAGAAAAATTTAAAACATTGCAATGTGATTGTCCACCAAACCATCCATGCTGTATTTGTGGCCCAAGACTGAGGCACCGCAACGGCAGAAGCGTGAGGAAAGCCGTCAGGTCTGAGAGAGTGCGTCTTCTCTGGTGGATTTCAGCAGGATTTTTTTTTTTTTTCATGGAGCTTCTGAGAGTTCAGGATGGTGGATCCAGGGGAAGACTGACCAAGGAGAAGGGAGGTGAGGGAAGGCCTGGTAGCTGTTCTTCCCAGGGATTTGATGGAATGGGATTTCATCAAGTTTCCGGTGTGGATGTTTGAGACAACTGAGCAAAAATTGTGGAGGAGGAAAAGGACCTAATTTCTGTAGAAGAGAAGTAAGAGATGCCTCTCATTGTGTTCGTGTATGCCAAATAAGACCTTACCACATCTTCTCTTTGGAAACTGCCCTGATTCAATGGACATCTCCTCTCTCCATCTGGGAGAACTGTGTACAGATGGATGTGAAAGGGTCAGATGCAGAGAACAGAGATCCATTTCCTATGAGCTTAAGCATTGTATGATATAACTGTGAATCTGCAAATGGAACTCTCTCTCTTTTTTTTTTGGTCTTTCTCTTTTTCCTGCTACTCCTCTTCCTATTGTCTCCTTTTTCCTTCCCTCTGCTCTTCCTGTTGTTCAGGTCATAGGTCCCAGAAGAGCTAAACAAACAGCTAAGTCTGAAGAGGTGGATGAAGGCCATTAGAGGAAGAAAAGCATTTTGGCTGTGAGGACAGTGGGTCCTTGCAGGGTACCTTACCTTGCAGTGGCTGAGGGGAAGGTAGGGAAGAAGGGCCAAGGGTGTAGCCAAAGGGACTCTGAAGAATGATGACTGAATTGCCATGTGCAAAAGTGAGGGCACCACTGACAAATATGCAGGCAAAGGGAGACAGGGCAAAGAAAAAAGGTCTCCCCAAAACCAATCCAACCCAACACGCTCTTAATTCAGGGATAGTACCAGCAATCCTTTCTTACCTGATAGCTGCATGATATCAGTCCTCATTAGTCAATAAAAAATTATCCTCTCCATCTAAAATATCTCACCAGGAGAAGGAGCCTGTGCCTGCTGCACAGAAATGCAGGCATTAATTTCCAGGTCATGCCATTTACACAGCTGGCAATTTGGTTTAAAAATATCCAGCTAACAAATAATTCTTACACATGTAGTTGTATTACAGTGCTCAAAGAAATGAAGTTTCTGGAGGGCATGTTGTAATAGAGTAGATTTGGGTTTCTTCCATTCTTGCTCAACTACCTAGCTTTTGTTTTCTGTTGTCTACAGATTCCCCAAACATGCCAATGCCAGCTGCTAAGTCAGTGTGTTTCCACTGAAGTGCCATCTCTGTCAACTGAAGTTTCACAATTTCATTTTACATTAGATGTGACCAGAGAAATTACTTATTTATTTGAGTTTAAAACACAAGCCTTTTGAAGAAACTTCCTTTTTAAGCAGATTGGTTTATTTATTTTTTTCTGGGAAGGTTTTCAAATAGGGTGATTTTGAAAAATTTTGAAATCATTTGACTGTGCAAGTGCCTACTTGGTTAGGAGGTTGATGAATTACCATTGAACAGAAGAAGGAAATTTAAAACAAAAATTGCCTTGGAGAGCTAAATGAAGGCTGAATGCAGAAAGCCAATAACTGGAAACCAAAAAAGACCTATAAAAAATTGTTCATTTCTTCAAAGCATGAAAAATTTTGGAAAAAACCCGAACGTATTGGTAAGAAATTATGCAGCTGTTTAATTAAAAACAGCTTTGAATGCAAACTTTCTTCCTCCTCTGCAGTGGTGAATGTGATAGGAAAGGTGTTTCATGTAAATACAGATATCTAGAGTGATACAGGTAAGCCAGAATCACAGAGGTACCTATCTGGAGTCTACCATCAGGCCCTGTGGCAGGCAGAGCAGTACAGCAGCTCCTGTGATGATGTATCCTTGTGTGGTCATTGAGTGTTCACAGGGTGTATTCTACAGATACAGTTTTGAAAGAGGTATAGCACTAAGATTTAAAGAAATGGAAGTAATTTTGCTGTTTGATGGATTTTCAAAGGTTTCCTTTTCTTCTGCAGCTGGCATAAAACCAGTTTTGCCTTGATGAAGTATTCTCTGGATGGTGTTGGTTTACAAGCTGTATATAAGCCTCTGTGTCTGTGTGTGGCAGTGGTGGAAGAGGGTTATGGTTATTTTTATTAACAACAGAAAAGTGTTGACCCTGAATCTTTGGGCCAGTTCTGTGATTTTCCACTTGCTCTAGCATAGTGTCTGTAAGGCCTGTGTGGCTATGAAACATCTTAAAATCTATGGGAATGTCTGAAGCAGCAGGTGATCATGTCACATTAATCTCCAGCTGGATCCCCAAAAGAACCATTTGTCCAAACACCCATTCTCTCATCACTGGTTTAAGTAAGGGCAGAACCCTTTTGGGAGATTATGAATTTCCCCTCTGTGCTTCTCGAAGAACTGGCAGGAGTCCTGTGTGCTTCCATAGCCCTGAATAGGGGTCACAGCCCCACCACACGTTCTAAGTGCTCAGACTTGTCTTTAGAGCAGGGTTGATCCAGAATACATCCAGATGTAAATTTGTGAATGTTAATGTCTCCATCTCTCCTGAGCTGAAGCACACTCACAGCTACTCTGAGCTTCTGCATTTTGGGGGAGGCTTTGAAGTATCTTTCTGAAGAGAGATTGAAGCTTTTTGGCTAGTGTGTGGTTTCTAGTTGGCAGAGAAGACAGATCTAATTCTAATTCTTAGAAATCTGTTATCAGTGATCCCAGCATTAAGGGACTTGACCCTGTCCCTCAGATCTGCTCTGGCCAAGTGCCTGAGCATGTGCTTTACTTGGTGCATGTGACTAATCCCTTAAATTTGTTTGACTATTCATATGCTTAAAGTCCAAAATGTGCTTTCTTGGAGGACATTTAACTTCCTGCAGAGTCCAGCCCATGTTCTTCTTTTCCCATCCTTCCCCTGTAGGTAAGGCGACACTCTGTCCTAGCCTGAGCAACCAGTATGTTCTTGGTCTCCCTTTCTGTGAGGTGGAAATGCAGGATCCGTATTTGGCAGGCTCTTTGCCACACGTAGCCTTTCAAGTTGCACTTCTGGGACAACACATCTCTATGTTCCAGAGATCACAGAGCCACTGGAGTGCAGTGAGCACAGACACCCTAAAATGCCCATCCTAAGGATGCAGGATGAATTGGTTCAACACACAGTGATCTGCAGGCTGAGCTTTTGTGTGTAGTGACTCAGTGGTGTTGCCCTGTGACCATAACGAGTCAGCTGCAGGGGTTCTGCTGTCTGTCCCTGCTGGAACACAGTACACCTGAAGGGTCTATGTGGCAGGAGCACACGTGCCCTGTATCCTATGTCCTATAGGATAGGTGTCCTTCAATCCATCTTCAAGCTAAAGCTGTTTGTGAGTTAAATTTCCTAACCCATATTAGCCACCTGTATATATCATCAATCCCTTCTTCCTCACTGCAAACACACAACTGATCTTTCCTCATCTAAATAGTACAGTCCCTCCAGTTCTTTTTCTAGCTGGGCTTTTTTTTTCTTCTACCCCAGGGACAGTCACAAGTGGATCACAAACCACCAGTGACCAGAGTAATTTCTTTGAAATACTGCTTTTGAAAAATTGTCATTACTTTTTAAAATGTTATTCCAGCTGCAATAACAAATGAAAGGGGGGAAAAAGCATCCTCAGAGTCCTCTAAACAGCGGATCCTCATCCTCCCAGGAGTGAATTGTGAGAGTGCAGGTATCCTGCTTTCCTGTGCATGCAAGTCATTTGGGACCATTTTTTGCTATGGCACGTTAGCTGTGCAGTTCAATGGATGGTGAATAAAGCAAAGCTGGTGAAGGAGGGGATTGATGTGCAAGGGCTATTTCAGATTCCCAAGCATTCCTGGAAGACTGTCTCCATGGCTGTCCATTTACCCACCGTGCAGCGCCTCTGAATCAGGCTCATCCCTGGAGCCCCACTGATAAGCAGAGCTCAGAAGAAAATCACTGTAATCTG